AAGTCACCCACTATAATTGTTGTGGTTGTGATTTCTTTTTTCATCTTTTGGAGTGTTTGGGTGATGTATTCAGTGGGTCTCTCATTTGGGGAACATGTTTACAATGCTTAGTGGCTCTTCGTCTACCATTCCTTTGAGCATTAAATAGTGTCCCTCTTTATCTCTTTTTATGGTTTGCACTGTGAGGTCAATTTTATCTGAGATTAGGATTGCAACCCCTGTTTTTTTTTGAATTGCTGTTTGCTTGGTATGCCTTTCTCCAGCCTTTGATTCTCAGCCTATTTTTGTCTGTAGCCTTGAGATGTGTCTCCTGTAGGCAGCATATTGATGTGTTGTGTTTTCTAAGCCAGTTTGCTAGCCTTAGTCTTTTAATGTCTGAGTTCAGGCAAATGATATTCAGGGTTATTATCTCCATCTGCGGACTCTGTGATGTCATCTTACACCTTTTATGTTGGGTCTTTTCCTACTTTCTTTTCTTATTAGTGTGTTCTGCATGTATGTGTATATCATTCTTGACTTCTTTACATCCTTAAGCCAATGCTATCTTGGGGTCTTTTTTCTCTTTGCTGCTCTCTGGTTGAGGTTGTTCTATGTGGCGGTCTCCTATTTATGCTTGGTGAGTGTTGTTCTTCTGCCCATACTGGGTCGGCAAGAATCTTTTGTAGGGCTGGGTTTCTTCTAACGTATTCTTTGAGTATTCCCTTGTCTGGGAAGACTCTTACTTCTCCATCTATTTTGATCGATAATTTGGCTGGGTAGAGTATTCTTGGGTTTGCGTTGTTTTCCTTCAATTTTTGGAATATTTTACTCCACTCTCTCCTCTTCGTCAAAGTTTCTGCTGATAGATCTGAGCATTTTATTATTTGGGAACATTTATATGTGATTGCTTGTTTTACCCTAGCTGCTTTCATGAGTTTCTCCTTTTCCTCAAAGTTGGATAGTTTAATTATTATGTACCTTGATGACTTCTTCTTGAGATCCAGTCTAGCTGGTGTTCTTTCAGCCTCCTGAATGGTTGCATGATTTTCATTCATTAAACTGGGGAAATTTTCCTTCAAGAATTCCCTCAATATTGTTGCAGATTACTTCTTTGTTGTGTCTTCTTCCGGTAAATCAATAATTCTAATGTTGTTGTTCTTCATAGCATCAGACATAGCTCTTAGGTTTTTTTTCAGCTTCTCTGATGATATTAATAGATTTTTGTTCGTGTTTGTTAAAGTCTGCTTGGCTGTCCTCCAAGTCACTGGTGCAGTTCTCTGCTTACTCAAGTCGATTCTCGAGGTCCGTGCATGTGCTACTGGTTTTTGTTATCTCCTCCCTAAGCTCTTGTATTTCCTTTTGGTGTATGGACTTTATCTCTCTATCATTTCATCCTTTTTCTGTATCGTTTCCCTCATATTCTGTATGACTCCAAGCATCATTCTGAAAATTTCTTTCTTTAGCAGCTCAATGTCTGCTTCTTTTATTCATGTCATTAAGTTCAGGCTGTTTTTTGCCCTTGCCTTTTGTTTCTCCTGTTTTTTTGTTGAGGTAGTTGGGTGCTTATGGCTGTTTGCATTTCGTTGTTTTAGAGGAGCCAGGTGCCATTTTCCAGGGAGTCAAAGAGCACTGGCTCTCTCTGGGAGACTTGTAGGAATG